AAAATAAAATAAAATAAAATAAAAAAATAAAAATGGCATCTCTAAAAGAGTCTTGTTTTGAAGCAGTAACTTAGGAAATGGAGCAACTCACTGTGGCTTTAGTAGAGCACTGAACTCCTCTGTGCAGCCTGGTGTGCACTTGACATGAGCTGGAGACATGAAAGTGTGGAGCCCTGCCAAAGTGTGGTCCCCAGGCCAGCAGCAAATGCACGCCTGAGAGCTCTAGGGTTAGGCCCTACCCTGACCTCCCAAATCAGAATCTACATCTTCACAAGCTGGTTAAAAAAAAAAAAGCACCATTCTAGGTAATAGCCCAGGTCCTTCTCCTGGCTGCTCCGCAGCGCAACAGAGACACATAGAGACAATGGTGAGCTTGACCAGCAGGAAGGAGACTTGGGTTCTGATCTCATACTCACCACTAAATAAATATCTGCTTTGTCTTCCACCAAATACCTATGACCAGCCCTGCCTACCTCTCAGCATTGCCAGGAGGACCAAATGGGATGAGATTTGGGCCCAGCACCACTTTCTATTTGGCCCACTGCATTGTATCTGTTTTTTTTTGGTGGCTGGCCAGCATGGGGATCTGAACCCTTGACCTTTATGTTGTCAGCACCATGCTCTAACCAACCCCCTGCATTATAGCTACAATGACCACAAGCAGAGCTTGTTTCTGCTTCAGGGCCTTTGCACGAGCTGTCCTCCCTGCTGGATGCCTTTCCTTTTGATCTCTGCCAGCCCAGCTCCTTCTTGTTATTCAGATCTCAGCCTAAATGTTCTATCTTCAGTGAGACCCTCTCAGACCACCCAGTGTAGTCACTCTCTGGTAAGTCATCCTGTTCTAATTCTCTGCAAGGCACTTATCACACTATCTGAGCAGGAACAGTGACTGTCATGTCCTGGATTGTAGCCCCAGTTCCTTGAACTGTATGCTCAATACATACTTGTTTAACGGACAGGTAAAGACGGTAAAAACACTCTGGAAAAAATAAGGTACTACTTGAATATCAAATACTTTTTTTTCTTTTTGTCTTTTTTCGTGACCGGCAACGGATCGCAACCCTCAGTGTCGCGCCCGTACCGGACTGGGACCGGCCATGGGATCGCAACCCTTGGTGTTGCTCCCGCCCCTCGCTCAGCCAGTGAGCGGCCGGTCTGTATGTGGGATCCGAACCCTCGGACGGGAGCGCCACAGCGCTTCCCAAGCGGCGCGCTCAGCCAGTGAGCGGCCGGTCTGTATGCGGGATCCGAACCCTCGGCAGGAGCGCCACCGCGCTTCCCAAGCGGCACACTATAGCAGTGCGCCACCGGGCTGGCCCTGAATATCAAATACTTTTTTTTCTTTTTGTCTTTTTGCGTGGCCGGCAACGTACCCCAGCCCTCATTTTCGCTCCCGTTCCGGTCCGGTACC